ACTATCAAATATACATGGGAGCAATTCTCAAGAGAATTTGGAGGGAGTGAATGTGCCTGCTGCCATTGATGCTTTTTGGCAGATTTACTGCAGGATGTAGGACGTTTCAGTCCCTCCTGGTCTTGTGTCACGGTCACCCCTGAGCAGCGGTGCCTCAGCCCTGTTCTCACTGCAGCGAACCTGCACGCAGACACTTCATGTGACGACTTAGTCAGGGCAGAATGCAAATAACGACAACAGTAATGTTCAAAACAGCAAGATTTCATACAGAAATAAAATTACTTTGATTCCTATCAAGGCTGTCCTGCAGTCTCTTACATTCCCTTCTTCACCGTTTCCCATTGGCGTTGTCTCTTACCTCTGATTCTTTGTAATAGCGCTCGGGAATTTCATCGCTGGCAATATCAATGAAGCAGACCTCTCGCTCCAGATCTTTAGCTTCGTTGTCAAAAATCTGCAAGAGTTAAAGAAATTCAGCACTGTAACAGAACAGCACCCTTACGAAATCCACCTGGAATAATGGTTCCCAGCCACTTTCAATGACATGAGTAATGCATCTGAGGCTGAACATCTTCTGCTGTAAGATGTGCAGGGGCACAGCCACATTCTCCAGCCCACTGCAGACATCCATGGGAAGAGCATGGGTGTTCCCGGGATCAGCTATAGCAAGGTATTCCTAAGCAAGATTAAAAACATTCGAATGAACCATGCCACAGACTTTGTGGGGAACAATGCACTACGTCAGATCAAAAGCCAGTGGATTGCGCATTATAACACATCGTGTTCGGCTTGGTCGCAATTAGTAAAGTCACCAACTAGGATTGGTTTTATTGTGGTCTCTAATCCCTGAACCAGATTTCATCACTGGGTAAAAAACCTGACTTTCTGGACTCTGTTTCTAACCTTTCCACTCTAGGGACAATAGTGAAACAGAGGCATGTCATTGTAAGTCATTGTAAGTTAAGCTCCCGTTATACTGAGAGTCAAAATTCTGGTTGAACTGCCCTCAGTGGAAGCTGGAAACTGCCACCATCCATTTGTGCACACAGAAAGCTTATTTTCATTCAAATCCTTTAGGAGCCGGTTTTGAACACGAAGCCTTTTGTTCTATGCAAGGCAAAATATGGGTATATTTTGAAAATGCCAGTCATTTGCATCTGCAACGTAGTAAACTTCTGTGGCTCTGTCCATAACTTAATTACTTATGCATCTTAGTGACCCATGTGACTCATGCTTTATCTGCAATAAATGTCTATTCATGATTCTGAGGCTTGGAAATAGCAACTAGTTAAAAGGCTATCAGGATTAGTGCCATAACATTCAGGGAAGTTGTGCACACACTGTCAAGATCAATAACAAGCTAAGGATGTGTTTTTTCCTTCGGGGCACAATGTTCTATAGCAAACGTTTCCAGGAAGCATAAATATTTTTGTTTTCTGTTTGTTTTTTTTTTTTAAATAGATGTAGGGATGGCTTTGTTAATTTAATTTCATTTTATCCTGGAGGAACAGTTAAAAATACAAAATGCCAGCAACTATTCAGTAACAAGAATGCTGCTTTATTATTTCTGAAAGAAATGTGGCTGCCCATGTAAAGCATTCAAAGTGAGCAATGGATGACAACGAGCAAGTACAGGAGCTGGTAAGAACACCACTGCTCAGGAAATCGTAACTCAAATCAATGAAAAGCTGAAGTTTGACTCCACAAATTTAACTTGTCTTGGTAGTTAACGGTACTGGAATAAAACAGGCAACACTGAATGCTTACTGAACTGGATAGAAAATGTTAACGTGTCTGAAACTGCAGAACAGCACAAAGGAAACTCCAGTCGGTTTTTATTCGTGTGCTTCTTTTCCATCTCCAATCCCTGTTTTGCAAAAAATTATGTTGATTATTTGAATACAGTTGAGCTGAGAGGTCCTTGCCCTGTAGTGCTCTTTCTTCGAAATGGGGTACATTTTTTAAATAACTGCTATGCTTTATATATATAATACAGGTCGCTTTTTATAAGCTTCCTCGCTTTATTTTTTTCTAAACAAACTCAGATGTACAGAGCAGTCCCTTGATGAAATCAGTTGAACTATTTCTGGAACAAGATGCATTTCACCATAATCTCTGAGCTTTAAATAAAATAATGGAGATTTCTCTTAAATGGACATTACCAGGTCAGCTGAGGCTCTCCATCAGTGCATGGTTTAAGTACAAGCCTAATAAATTGAAGCATATGCCCATCTCTGTGAGACTGCAAGGACTTCAACTGGGACTATTACCCAGTATCTTATCTGAAGAAACATGCCCTGCTCCGTCACAGCCTCCATCCACATACCACATCTCTAAGTAATATATTCTTTTTCTCTCCTTAAAATGCCTTGATAGAAGCGGGGATGACAGATGCCTTTGCCAATCTGTCAAAACCAGGAGGAATTTTTCAACCGTTTCAACCCGGCCTTATTTGCTGCTGAGGCGATCTCGGACCATTTCCTCCACTCCAAAGTTTGGTGAATGACATTCTCGCTTCCCTTCCCCGTCAGAACTTTTCTCATCATTTCTGCTTCTCCCCCTCTTAGATTGTCCTCACGAGATTTGCAGATAGAGATTTAATCTCCTCATTCTATCAGCAGTAGAAAACAAGAAGTCATTAGAGAACAAGACTGATTTCTTCTTAGCTCTAATTCTCTTATTGCCTCTCCTAGCCACATAATCTGGGATTGTCTTCAATTCGGTAGGGACGATGGGTTTATTGCATTTGTGATCCAAGAAACTAAAGAAATTTAAGTTTGAAAGGAAGAGATTAAAGGCCACGAAAAGAAGCATAAGGCTCCCAATCTGTGCAACTCTATTTGCAAATGTGCAGAAAATGAATGGTGAGAACAATCTGTATCCTTAAGAAGATGATGTAGAAAGGCAGAATATTAAATATTATATTGGAAAGAACTGGACAGGCTTTCACATTTGGAAGCCAAGTAATTAATTGAAATTGAAACACACAATCAAATGGAAAACAAAGAGCAACATTCAGGCTGAAGTGTCCTTTTTGCTGTGTGTTGGGTTTTGTTTGGTTTTTGTTTCATTGGGGGGGATTGTGACAGCTTTTTTGCAACAGACAAACATTTATACACTTCCACTTTCTAAGAGGAATGAAAACACATCATTGTTTAGACAAAAAGTGGAAGAAAGGTTTTAATTGTGTCATCTTTACAGTTGACAACAGTTTCTTTGGGGGAAAATTTTAAAGAAAACCTTGGCAGATGATTCTAGTATCTCAGGAAAGAAAGCTCATACAGGATACTGCACAAATATAAGTGCTGGTGTATTTAAATGTCTTTCCTTCATTTTCCTCACAGCCCACGATGACATGTACATACTTTGCTGGTGACTTCTCTTTCCTTGTAGCCAAAGCCAGAATAGAAAGTCAGGTTGTGAGACAACGGCAATTCAACAACAAATTCAGTATCTTTTTTCCTACAAGCTCCTTTCCCATTTTTCTTCTTTTTCTTCTATCTTCAGGCTAACTTGCTGACTTCAACCTCCTTCAGATGCAACTAATCCAAAATTTGACTTTCTGGCCAAGCACCACAGCAACCTGCTTTGGATATAAATAGGATAAAGGCAGACTCAGCAGAACCCATTGATTGCGTTCCCCCTGGCAAAGCCCTCACTGCTCTGCACTGCCAGCGCTCGCGGGCCAGAGCTGTGCTTCTCGCCTTGGCTCTGCTCCATTATAGATGATTCTCTCTTCTGATGTTGGGTTTTTTTTCTACCATCAAGAGGAAAGAAGGTATTCAAGGGATTACCAGCAAGGAAGTTGCTCGTCTCTGTCTTTACTGCAAAATGGTTATTTTTACCAGCCTAGATACAAGGAGTTTGTGGTCAGAAGGATGTCAAAAGGCAGCTAATTCACATTTTAAACACTAATACGTACAGGACTCTATGTTCTTCTTACTTGTTCTGTTAGATCCAGACAGTCATTGCTGAGAAACACAGCTGAGACAGAGATACGAAACAGGTAAGAGCTAGAAGATTTTTTCCAATAAAGCAGAGCACTCATAAATCAGTTACAAACAGGTAATATGGTAGCAAACAGGATTATTATCCCATGTGCTAAGTAATCAGACACCTGTGCCTACCTACAAACTTAAGCCAAAATGACACTGTTCAATACACAGCGCGTAAATGGCATTTATTTGGATGAGAATTTCTACTATCAATCAACTTTCCTCTTCTATTAGATCTTCCTTTCAGTTAATATCTATGCCTGAAAGTGTTGTTCTCCCCATTTTCCCGGTCCTGCCAACAAAGCCAACAGGCATCCCCAGAAACTTAAATCTTGACTTTGCAGTAGCTGGACATTGTAAGTCAACATCTTAGCAGGACAGGCAGACTATGACATTAATGTCATGAAAAAAATATCTTTAAACATTAGAATTTGAAAATAAATTACATTTATCTCTGCCTTTCTCACTTTTACATTGATTCACTGTCACTGAGCTTCAAGAACATGGAAAAAATACAGTACACAGCTAGGAGAGCCCCCAAGCTTAGATGCATCCAAGCCACACATATGGTCCTTTTTAAAATTCAAATATTGATATTTCACTGAAGCTTTTGGGTTTTCTCTGTATTTTCTCTCATCCCCAAAATGCAGTCTAACTATTCAACTTGCAGGTATTGAGCTAATTGTATGATGATGAGCACTTTTTGTGAGTAGAATACATCCGTGTCCATCATTTGTAGGGTGGTTTAAGTCTAGATTTCATCGTATGTGGAAGTTAGAGGTATAACTGTAGCGAGGAATAAAGAATAAACTTTTTTTTTTTTTAGTTCCCTCCTATTAAAAATTGAAAATCTGGCACAAAACCTCTCCAAGCTGAAATTCCAATCTCCTCAGATTGCCACAGTCAGAACTACTGGTCAGTCCCCATTTATTGTTACAGCATCCTTTCTCAGGTTGTGTCACCTGGCCCACTTTAGCTCATTTTTCAGAAGGAAAATTTGATCTAAAATAAAAGAACACCTACTCAGAACGTCATCTACGGGGTTTTATTCAGTGTGTAACTTTCCTGTAAGTCATTTTCCAACCACAGCTACCCTCAAAGTCTGTTAACTTACTTTTGAGATTTACTTGGGCAAAGATTACAGGAATTGACCAATTTCAACTCATTCACTGGCTACAACTATTTCTGTGGACACACATCACTGGGAGCAATTCTCTTATTAAAAAAGGTTGAATTTCTCCCCGAGAGCAGTAAATCTGGCTCACAGAACAGCCAGGAACATCACCATCAGCTGCAGAGAGGAACTCCCGAAGGCAGTTCCGTATTTATCAGCAGCCTTGCTCCCTGCTCTTATTTCTCTCTGTGTCACGACACCTCTATTATTCCATCTCTTAGAAAATATTTCATTTAGATTTGTACTTTCCGAACAGAGAAATGTATTTTTATGTAACTATATCAA